TGGGCTACTTCTTGAAGCATTTCTGGACAGTTAATGATTGGAATGACTTGCCTCCAGATTAGGCATTGCAACACCTGGTCCTCAACTTAGATGGTACAGCCCTTGACTCCATCTTGCACTTAAGCAAGGTAAATTTTAAGAATGAATGTGAGATTCATTTCCTCGTTTAAAGAAGCAGTCTCTGTCTTGACAAGGAACAAAGTGGTAACTTCAAACTGGTTGCAGGAGAGGATGAAGTCTGCAGCAGATGCTGTGGTGACACTTTATACAAACTTACCTACAAAAGTGACTTTATCACAACAAGCTCAAGCCATGGCAAGTGCACTGCTTGTACCTTGTAAGGTATAAGTTTACAGAAAGCAGCTCCAGGGGTGTCCATGTTAGCTGTCCCTAACTTTAAAGTGATAGATTAGAAGGAAGACAACTAGTCAACACCACCTACTACCAACTCTTGCGCTACTCTTTACCAATAAATATAATGCCTCCATGGCTGAAAGAGTGAGCATGTTTCATAATGAGCTTCAATCCTGTGACCCGAAGATTGTGAGTTGAGTGTCCTAACAATTCCTAACATTGCGGGGTAGGAAAGGCTATTAATGTTAACCAACAGCTGAGCATAGTCAACCCAAAAAGGAGAGGGTGAAACAGACAGCTTGTGTTGAAAGATTTGATAGTCAGTCAAGTTTTCTAAGGATTGAGTGGAGCTTGGTACATGCTTGTCAGAGAATAAAGGCAAGAGATAACAGTTTCTGGTTGATACAGGAGTTACCAATACACTTTGTGAATCTCGGGATGTATCAGCATTTCTGAGAAAGCCACCACTCTGGCTAGTTGGCAATGACTTTGTTCTGGTGAATGAAGATAGATCAGATATGAATGGAGAGGTAACTCTGTAACTGTGTCTTGGAGACATTACTCAGAAAACAAAGGTAGTCATCTTTATTATTGATTCTGGCATTGGCATTTTTAGAATGGATATACTGTGCAACAGGTAATCTGATGTTCCATAAGAAAGTTATTCAGTGCCAGACAGACACAGGAACAGTGGACTGCATGAATGTATGTAGCAGAGGGAATCACAGTACCTTCATAAATATCAAAGTGGTATTCCATGATTTACCTAGAACGAAGTCTAGTATGTCACTGCCATATAATGTGGCATTAGAGTCCACACACAAAATGTACTGACTTATATCCAGAAAGCAAACAGATTTAGCTGAGGTAGTTATATGTCCAAGAAGGGGTGAAGATCTAGTGTTTATTTGCAATTATGGGCAATCAGTTACCCAGCTTCTTGTTGAAATGATTGCCAGCAATAAGTGAAGTAGAATTAACTGAGGCTAGATGTATATGGTTGCCAACACATCTGAAATTGCTAGTGGATGATTGTGGACTCAGCACAATGGTACCAGTGGTAATTGGTTGAATAGAACAATATATTCTTCATATCAGATGACTGATCACCCAGATACAGGTAATGTACATCCATTTAAACAACCACGACAAAGGCTTCCCTGGAATCCCCAAAGATGTAGCCAATGCTGAGATAAAATAAATGCTTGTTCAGCTCAGGTGTTGTTTGTCAGAAAGAAAGATAGATGGGAGAATGTTATAACTCATGTTGACACCTTTCCATTAATGCAGATGAATGTCTGGACTAGTTGGAAGGAGCCCATTAATTCAACACTTTAGATCTGACATCTGGATATTGACAAGTCAATTTGGATGATAACAGGATACCTAAAACTTCATTCAGCATGTTCGCTGTTGTGTACGAGTTCTGCATCAGGCAGTTCAGCATGTCTAATAGCTCTGCCACTTTCAAGAAGCTAATGGAGCTTACACTAAAAAGACTACATTGGGAGAGGTGTCTGGTATATGTCAACACTTTCTTAGTGTTTAACCACACTTTCGAGTCTGAGTTCCTGTGGGACACCACTGGCAGTGTTAGTTGAATTCGAGTAATGTTATTACAGTTGCAGGATGCAGTAAAACAAGTGATCACATATAAGCTCACATCTCCTGAATGTTGATACAGTATGACAAAGAAAGAAAAGCTTACAATTGTAGCTTTTGTGAAAGAATACCAGGAATGGATGATAGTACATTGGATAACAACGTTGCAGAGATATGGTAATCACATTGCATTGTCTGGGCCTGCAACACTGAAATGCAGATGCATTGTTTCACCGTATAATGAATCTCATTCTGTTCATTTAATATCACAATTAACACTTCGGAAGCTATGGGAAGAACAACTGAAGGAACCAGATCTAGCAAGGGTGCTTCTTACCTGCAGTAAGGAAAAGTTCAATCAGCTCAGATGCATGTAACCTATGGCGCTTGTATGAGCAGTTATGGGTGCAGGAAAGCATGCTGTACCATTGTTATCAACCGCTGAGCTATGGTTCTAAGCCTGTGCTGCAGCTAATGATTACTAAAGCTTTGAGGCACAAGACTTTTCCATAACACAAAGACTGGAGGACATCAAAGTATTACGTAGATTTAGGCTAACATTTGACAGTGGTTCTATTGGCCAAATTCTAGTCGAGATGTTTGGCATTGATGTGAATACTGTATGGTGTGTATTATCCAGATAAATAGCCAGCTTAACCAGTGTAGACCGGGTTTCGATATCCGTGGTGGGTAGAGCACAGATAGCCCATTGTGTAGCTTTGTACTTAACTTGAAACAAACAAACAAAACAAAACATTTTCTGAAACCTTTGAGATATCCACATAAAAACACCGTTGCTGGTTTCAGTTTGACTGCCAATTTACCCACCATAGCACCTGTGCAGCTATAATAGAGTAAAGAATTATCAAAGTCTAATTGAGTTATTATTGTTTTCAAATAGACAACAAATAATGCTAAACATGACTTTATCACATACTTTGAATACATGGATTATTTGTGGAAATTCATGTTGATCCTAAATATCGTACAAGAAAAGTATATTGAAGAAACTCAGCAATTTCAATGAGTTTGTTATCTTATCTCACTAACCCTAAGATATTGTCAAGTCTACCAGTTACACTTTGCTCAAAGTCACTCATAGTGAGAAATATTACATTAATTCATAATTAGGGGTGGCTATTATTGAAATAGTGGTTGGTTAGCATACAGTGTAAGGAGATACTTGTCCTCTAGGAGAAACAAACAAGTTCATTCTGTAGCACATACACTGAATATTTATATTTACTACTTCAGTGTATTTTATAGAAATTGGAGGATACTTCAAAATATGCTGTTCATATTTATTTGTTTTACTGAGAAATGGAGCAACACAAATATAATTTGTTAACTATTCATCAATAAGGAATTTTTCAAAGTTTATTTATTTTCCAATCACTTAAGAGCATTTGATCTCTGTTTTCTTCTTGACATTTGATGTTTTTGAAAATTCTCCCATAAAATAATACATACAAGCTATACTGATCTTGATTCCCAGTGCATTTGGAAGGTATGATATATTGTACACAAGGTTATTGCAGCTGGTATGTTTTATGTTAACATTCTAGAACGCTTTAGAAATAATATTGTATCATGAAAGCAGGTGAAATTGTCCCTGACTTACACATAGACCCACATATCAAGTTTTGTTTTTTTAGTCTTCTTGTTGAAACAATCACTGACAATACTGTTAATCTACCAGTCTATCATATTTTTAACAAGGTATTCTTGACTTTTTCAAAGTCCCAATTACAGGCATATTACATGTATAAGTTGTCTTTAGGTGAATTGAAAACAGAGTTTGCTGAGATTATAAATTAATGTGTTTTTTTATAAGTACAATATATTTGGTTTGTTTGTTATGAATTTCGCGCAAAGCTACACGAGGGCTATCTGCGCTAGCCGTCCCTAATTTAGCAGTGTAAGACTAGAGGGAAGGCAGCTAGTCACCACCACCAATTCTTAGGCTACTCTTTTACTAATGAATAGTAGAACTGACCGTTGCTTTATAACGCCCCCACAGCTGAAAGGGCGAGCATGTTTGGTGTGACGGGGATTCGAACCTGCTTATTGCGAGCGTCCAATATCATACATTACTAAACAGTATTTTGTATTAATAAAGTTTAGTTATGTAAATAGTCAAATGTACTGAAAAATACTTTAATGAAAATCTGTATAGAAATAAGGTGGAAGACCTTGAGAACAAGGATCTTTTGAATGTAATTGTGTAGTAAAAATGTAAAGGAAGTGTAGTGATATTTTCCTCAGCATTCGAATAATTTTGACGTTGCTATCAAATATTATGACATAATTCTATAAATGTAAATAAAATCATGACCTATATCTCCAGAATGTAACTTTATTAGCTCAATATTTCGCTATTACAGCTTCTTCAGGAGCTATAGATATCCTACAAGTTCACTAATCCAGTTAAATCTGAATTTGAACACTGTTGTTCGTAAATCAAACATTGATACATGTGCTTAGAAAGTTCATATGAGTATTTATTAACTAAGGTTTCAAATTTACATTTCAGAGTTTTTTTCTCTTTCTTGTTTCTCTAACCTACTGATGGTTTCACTTTGATCTTTAATCCAGTTCTTAAAAGTCCACATTCTGCATATTTTTAATTTTAACAATATAAATTCAAGAATGCTGGATATTATTTTAATAGCGAAATACTGAACTAATAGAGTTACATTCTGGAGATATAGGTCGTGATTTTATTTATGTTTATAGAAATTTCTCATAATAAACCCCAGTTTGCGTTAAACAAATTTCTTCGGCATCGACCTGCTTCATAGTAACACAAGTATTGTTTTCCTATAACATTAGTTAAAACTTAGTAGGACTAAATCACAATTAAGTTTCCTCCTTAACTGTAGGAGATATGACTTAATTCCAGAAGATCTAAGGAATACTTTCAAATTACCATAAATCCTTAAAGATAACACCCGAGTTACTAATAGAAATAGGAAAGATGTTAAGTTGTTTGAGAAATGACCTCATAAGCTGCATGTTTAAAAAGAAATACAAACACGAGAAAATTTGTGATAGGAATTTTAATTTGATTAAAAAGATTTAGAATGTGGACTTTAAGAACTGTATTAAAGATCAAAGTGATGTTATCAGTAGGTTAGAGAAACATCAGTGATGTTATCAGTAGGTTAGAGAAACATCAGTGATGTTATCAGTAGGTTAGAGAAACATCTAAGTGATGTTATCAGCAGGTTAGAGAAACATCAAAGTGATGTTATCAGTAGGTTAGAGAAACATCAAAGTGATGTTATCAGTAGGTTAGAGAAACAAGAAAGAGAAAAACTCTGAAATGCAAATTTGAAACCCTAATCAATATATACTCATATAGTTACATCAATGAAGCTAAATCAGAGGAATATGAAACTCTCAAAGAAATTAATATAATTGTACAAGATTGCATTAAGAATTAGATATTTTATCATCGTCACAGCAAACTTTCCACAAAATACGACAACAAGGAAAGCGTTATTTACAAATCAATAAAGGGAGAAGTAGAGATTCATCAGAACAAAGAGGAGAACACCAACCCAATTGTTAACCCAATTTCGAACCCATCTTTTGATCATTCTAAGATACCAGCAGTGATAAGACAGAATATAACAGAAACCCCCATGGCAGAACTTTCTAAAAAGTGTCGAGTATCTTAGGGATATTTTACAATTACACAATAGAACCTAATTTATCTTTTCAAGAGATGAAAGCTCTGTATGAATTAAAAAGTAACAATGACATTATAGTTAAGGTATCTGATAAAAGTAAAGGATTTATACTCATTTATCAAATAAAGATAACTATTTAAAATTAAACAAAGATCCTACTAAAACACTTGAAAGTAGAAGTAGAATTATTTTAAATGAATTAAAGAAAGGGACACATGTAGCTCTCCAGTCAATGAATAGTCTAAAACAGTGGTTCTTATACTTTTTAGGCTCGTGTACCCTTTTTGTTTAAACTTTTTTGAAGTACAAACCCTGGCCTAATTAAAACAAATCGGAAACTCAGTAGTAAAAATGTTTATTTTTGACACTTACCTATAATAGGAAATATGTGATTGATTTTTTTTTTGCCACAACTGAAAGTATCTAGTGTGATTTTTGTTAATTTTTAGGGAATAATGTGCACACTGGCAAGCTTATTCATGCGAAGGGCGAGTCTACAAGTGAAGTGTATATATGTACTCAGGAAGCTCAAATTGAGTTCATTATAAATTTTAATATTAATGTTTTCGCGAACCACCGACATTAGCTCCACGTACTGTCAGTGGTACGTGTACCACAGTTTGGGAATCCCTAGTCTAAAACCATATAATAGTCGAATCCCTGAATTCTACGGCAGTCCTAAAGATCATAAGTCTGGTTTACTCCTTAGACCCACAGCATCTACTTGCGGATCTCCGAAAGAAAGTATATCGTGGGTTTTAGATAGACTGCTGCACCCATTATTGGACTTAGTTCCTGCTTACATCATTTTCTTTAACAGTTACACAGTGACTCTCATCTCTTTAATGATAATTCAATTGAGTTTACGATAGACATTATTCAATTATATCCTAGTATCCCAGTTGAAGAAGGGATAGATTGTGTTATGACTATGATTAGAGAAAACAGAGATGACTTAGAACTTTTAAATATTTCAGCAGATTGGTTAGAACGAGTTCTGAGGTTTGTGTTAAATAATGGATATGTAAGATTTAACGAGAAATTTTATAAACAAATCAGAGGAATAGCTATGGGTAATAGGTTAGCAGTAGTCTTAGTTGTAATATTTATGCATATACTTGAACTGAAAGCACTTAATTCTTGGAAACAAGTGGGAATATTGGCCTATCAATCTTGTACAGATTCATACATGATGAATCTCTATTTAGTTTCCATGAGTTTTTGAGTTTTTTTTCACCCATTCATAAAATTTACACTTGCTTATGCCATACCAAGTAGAGAAATTTACTGTTTCTAGATACTACATTTCAGGTCAGGAATGAGGAAATCATTACTAGTAATTCCAGCAAGACATCTACTAAAGCTCTTTGTTTTTTGCATTTCCACTTTCATTATTCCCATGCTGTAAAAAGAGGAGTCGTTATTGGCTACCTGCAGAGGATTGATAAAGTGTGTAATAACAAAGAAGTGTGGGAGGAGGCTAAAAAAAACCCGATGACTCTTTTAAGAAAAAATGCCTATCCACAGGAATTTATAAAAAACATAACAAGAAATTTTGATAAGCAAAAATAAAATAGACACATTTAAAGCTCAGGGTACTTGGGTGTCTCCATATATAAGTGATAATATCACAACAAAACTAAACAGAGTAATTAGAGCATCAGAGTTACCTATTAAAATAATATTAATTCATTTAAAAACACTTGTATATTAATGAGTGAAAACTTTAGTAACCTTGTCATATTTCTTCTAAATGATTATTTTTTCTACATTCTTCACTATATAGTGCTTGATTAAGGTAGAGAATGTTTTACTGAAAAGCCTAGAAATTAAAATTTATTGAACAAAATGAGAGTTATCAATTCTAAACTTTTTTATATCTTGTCCCACCGGATGGTCTATACTTTCCATTGATGGCACAAGATGAATGACTTGAAGATTCAAACCTTCCCAAAATATCAATTGTCAGACGTTCTGGCACAAATATGGACATCAGTTGCTGGGTAACATGAAGAGAATTACAGTTGATGAACAAATACATTAATACAATAGAAAAAAATTCAGTATTGTAATTCACTTTGTTATGTCAGCTTTATTTTCATTTTGTGAATATCTAGGATAAGAATTTCATATGGACAATTTGGTTCATATCATTATCAGTTCCATTATTATGCATATCATGTCATCAGCTATCACACTCTTGACATTCATAAGTATATGTATGTACACACATTTGTATACATTATTATTATCATTCAACATTGTTATTAAAAACGTTATATTACTCTAAAAATAGTCATATTAAATACATATCTGATTGCTGTTTGTTGTACTATTTTCTGACTATGCAAACTGAAACCCTGTAGTATAATTTAATGTGACAATTTATGCAAATCAGGGTTTTGGTCATATGACATGTATAAATAGAGTATATACACAGCATGTTGCAGCATAGCCAGAAGAGGTTCTATGCACTCTGACACATAAGTCATTTCATTGACATAGCTGAGGTTTATAGTCTGAGCAGTGTGTTTAGCAATTAAAATTTATGCTATGTTTATGTGAGCTCATTCACCAATGTCAATTCATGATGTAAAGTTTTGTTTGTATACAGTGATATATTGTGCATTAAATGTTATTTTCTAATATCTGCTAGTGTTTTCATCTATTTGTCAGAGTTATATTAGGATGAGCTAGCGAAGACTAGTACTGAAACTGAAAATATCTATTAACCTGTTTCATAGTTAACTTTAACTCTTTCAACCCACGCTCGGTCCCTGGGACTATTCTCATAACCATTTTGTGCTTGTTATAGTTTTCATGCTATAACTTTTAATTAAGTGAATGTTAACAAAATAAGCCAGTTTATCAGTAAACATTACAATGCTTGAATATGCAAAATATTTAATTTTTTAATCAAGTCTTAAGGTTTGTAAAGCAACGTTTCTCTCATGCCTTTTTTTTTCACACCTTGCTTATCTATCATGTAAAGTAATTTTCATTTTAAGATTAAAAATACGTTTATGCATCAGAAAATCTTAAAATGTCTGGATAGTTATCAAAAATTTTTTACGAAAAACTATTTTATCTGTATTTTCAGTAATCAATCTCTGTATGGGTTCGGTAGATTTGACCAATCTCGTAACGTTACACCATATAAAATTAGGAAATAAACAAGAATTATGCCTTTTAAATTCTAGAATGAACACAAATTATAACACAAAAACATAAATATTTACATGAAATAGATTAAAGCTCATAACATTATACATTTATATATATTTATTATATTGACCTTTCACCAATGCCTAGCTAACAATACAGAAGTTACAATGATGCAGCTCCTGTTACCATATCAAATAACATAAAGGTGACTTTTGGTCTGTACAAAGTAACTTGTCTGTGTTTTAGTCAACTAGTATTTTGTAAAATACAATCACATTTCAATTATTATACATTATATAT